TGGATTAGTAACTGTGTGATAGTGAATGAAGAGAATCAAATAAATAAAATGTGGATTTAGCACTTAGGGAAGTGACAGATGGCTTTGAATGACTTCTGAACAAAGTTCACTGATGGGCTTCTTTTTTTCCCTGACAGAGCAATATCTTCTGAGAATAAATTAAAACCAAAAACTCAGAATGCTCTGAGACACTACCATTAAGACCACAGACTTGGAATGGGAAGTGGTAGCTCTCCCCTACCCTCCCCCCATAATTTCATTCCCACCCTTAAACTCCAGGGTGGGGAAGGTTTTCTGGGAGAACACAGCCAGCACCCTCATGAAGGAGCCTGTGTTCTTTCTTCTGAGCCCCACGGAGATTCTGATTAATGAGGAAAGCCCTTCCTCGCAGCAAGAGTAGAGGGGAATCCTGTTCTCAGCAACTTGTTGTCTAAAATATTGTTTCCTCCATACACTGGAGTCCCCCTCCTGGGATCATTGGGGATTTTATCTCCTAAATGCTACAAACCTAGACAGGTGTTTAGTCTCACTGCGTCCCCGGAAGGACTGAAATGGTCAATTTCAAAGGTCAATTTCCAGAAATCTATGGTCATCAAAAGCACCAAATTGAGAGAATGTGGAAAACCTCTGTGACCTCACATGGTAAATCTGTCTCAACAGAGCCTGCCAGGAGACCAAGTTGCACCATGTCGGGTGAGGCTTGCTCAGGAGATCCCCATGTCAGGCTGCTGCCCGACCAGGCAACCCCTAACTCTGTCTCTCTTCTCTTTTGAGGAGTTTGTGGCTTCTCAAAATGGCTCAGACTCGTGACTCAGAGGATCTCTCTCATTATATGCAGGGAAAAAGCAACACCCCAAAGTTGTGGCCTGTCCAAGCTCTCTTTGACCTTTAAAGACCAATTGAAATTGGTGAAGGGAGGAGGGGAAAACAGTGTTTTGCATGAAAGCTTTGATCTTGACTGTAGATGAGTAGAGAAAAGAGGTGGAGGGGAAAATTGGGGACCAAGGGTCCAAATTCCCAAAGGAAATAATAGGATAGTAAGTGAAAGTCCAAGTTCCTCCACTGACAGGAAAGACAGGTGAGGGTGCGGGTGCAGCTGGGAGGAATGCAAGGGGCTTGGAGGATGCTGGTTTGAGGGTCTCTGTTTTCTTCTGCAGAGGTCAAGACTAGCCATGAGGTGACAGGGGACTCAAAAGAGGTCAAATGTTTAGACTTCCTACAGGAAGCTGTCTCCAGGGCAAATCCCCTGCTTTGAGTTATGCCCATGAGCCTCCTGGTATTTTGTGGAGACTTATTTACCCCCAACAGATGAAGATTAGCCTATGCCCACATTTCATCTTTCTTGACTTCGCAAGCTCCCCAGAGCCATCCTGGGCATCTGGAATTCTTGTGCTGCTATTAATGGTGCACAATTTATGGCCATCCCATATGGCTGGAAGTATCTGCCAAGTGTCTATTTATAACAACACACAAAAGTTCTAAACAAGGCCAAGAGGGGGTTACAGCCCAACCACAGGGCATCCCTTCATGGACCACCATGTCATTAGAAGACATGGAAGAGCTTCACCAAGCCCACCACTGCCACCTCAGATCTAGGAGCAGTGAGGAAATCAGCACCAGGCTTCCACTCAAAACCCACCTAAGTGACTTGCCCCGGGGCTACTAGCATGGTCTCTCACTGGGCGGCTTTATGAAGGCAGGCATCTGTGAAACCTTGGGCACAGCCAGCGGGGTGGGAGGGCAGTGCTGAAATCAGCTGGGCTCCTCTGTCTGGCATGAGCTTGAGCAAATGCCCAGAACCTAATGAGATTCTACTTCCTTGTCTGTAAAACACAAATAAGAGTGGGGCCATTCAGCGCAGCACCTGGAATGCAGTTAATGTTGAGCTAGTGCTGTTATCATTGTCACTGACATCGTCACTAATTTTCACAGCCCTGAAGGCAGAAATTGTTGTTACCACGTGTTTTGTATTATTATAAATTTACTAGATTCCATTTCCAGGAGACTTCCCAAGACAGGTGATTTTGATCCAGTACTTCTAACCCAGTAAGATGCCTTATAGACCTATTTTATCCATAGGGGACAATGTCCAAGGCCATGTAGCTATAAACTGTAAATCTGACCTTAACGCCCCACCCCCTTACTCCCATATTGCTTCCAGGGAAAACAGGAATCATGGATAGCTGAGCAGAAAAGGAAGCAGGCAAGGTAGGAAACCCCAGCTCTCTTCTTTTGTATTCCAGGAGGTTCTCCTGGCACGTCTTGGAGCACTTGTCTGGGTTCCTTCAGGAATCTTAACCATCTGGAATCATAAACTCTGGAGTTGGAATTGTCTTATCAGTGCTGGAGAACTTCCCACGATGCCCCCTTCTCAGTTTGCCTGTGGGCTCCAGGGAAGTTGTGAATTCCCAGAAGGGTGAATCTTATCAAAAGGGGGACAAGCTTTAGCGCTAAAAGCATTCCCCATAATGTCCACCTACTGGTGCCTTATAGACCTATTTTATAGTCAGCGGGGGTGGAGGGATGGGGAGAAAGTTTGGGCTCCTCTGGATGCAGTGGAAGTGGGAATTGTGCCTTCTCCATGTAAGATAAGCATCACACCATCTTCCAGGCCACAGGGCCCCACACTCTGCTCCCTCCACAGCTGTAATCTGAGGTGCCCTTTTTGTTGCTCAGAGTACTCTTCCACACAGTTCATGCAGTTTCCACCCCCCTCGGCTAATCACAGCTCTCTTGTCCTTCCCTCACTAGGTCCCTGCCCATTCCCTGCCTCGCACATACTCCCTGGGGCTCTCCTGGTTTCTCCAGGAAATGCCCGTTTTTTTCCTTTGGGCCCATTAGTGACTCAAGGTCAGACCTGGCTGTCTGGGAGCTTCACCACCCTCTCAGCCAACTTCTATTTTTGGTCTCTGGTCCTGGGTTCCCAGCAATCTTTTCTCTGAATTCTGAAAAGTCTAAGGAACTTGACTGCTCAGCCGGATTTCTCCCTTCCCCATGGAGCAACACAAATGACTTACAGGTGGTAAGAGGATCATAAATTCTACCACAGTGGTCTGAGCAGATTCTTCAAGGGGGGCCCTCTCTGAAGTTCCTCTTTATTTTCTTCCACCCTAAACTTAGCACCCCTCTTCCCTCCTTGGAAGGGGCAGGCCAGTGAACTGAGGCACCTTCCTGAATAGAAGAACCCCCGCAACCCCCACCCTGAGCCCAGTGTATAAGAGTTTCCTGAGAAAAAGGCCATGGCTACCACTCAGTTCAGACACTACTCACCTGTTGGGCAGAATGCTTTCAGTTATAAGGAAACCTAGCAACAAGCTTAACAATAAGGAACAGGTAAGGTTAGCAGCTCCATGAGCTCACCCGGTGCCCAGGAGTGCTCAACATCTCACAGGGAAGGCTCCCTCATCACCAGACAGCAGCCCACCCCCTCTCAAGGAAGCACTGCAGCTCTCATGTTAAAAGTGAGGGACGTGTTCCCAGATGCACAGCAGCATACGCCCCTACCAAGCTGTCTAACCAAAACGGGATCGCATGCTCATTCCTAAGCCAAAGTCGCAGGAAGGAGAGGCTGCAGGATACAGACTGAACAGACCACGCTGACAGAGGCCTGAATGGACTCCATGTCTTCTGAGGGAGCAAGAGTAAGAGACAATACAAAAGCAGCTGTGATGAGCAAGGAGGAAGCAACAGATGCTACAGGGCAGGCCAGAGCTTTCCAAGAACTCAAAGAGAACACAGTGCAGAGTGCAGGCCCCAGGAATCAGCATTTGGACAAAGGAGCAAGCAAGTATCAAGACCCGTTAGAAATTGGGCAGCCTGATGCTGATAAACACCGTTTGCCATCAAACAAAGCTAGGTAACCCAAGAAATAAATATGGCAAATCAGACATTTTTAAACTTGATCTTAGAGATGACAGGAACACAGAGGTTCTTAAACTAATTCAAAAGGGGGAAGGGGAAAAAAATGAGTCCACATAGGGTTCTATGGAATCTTGGTCCAGTTAATCACTCAAAATAATTTTTAATAGCAAAATTATCTATTCGTTATGTGAAGGTATGTGCATCCTCACCAAAGGAAAAAAGCAAAACTGACTATATCTGACTTTTCTATTATTAGGATTTGGTTTGGGGGTGGAGGTGTTTCCCCTTGTTTGCTTGGTTTTGTTGTCTATACCATACAAACAGAGGGGGGAGAGATTTCAGAAAGGAAAAAAGCAGAAATTTGATATCATTCCATCCCTTACATTCATTAGTAAATTAAGAATGAGTAAAAGCCCACTTCTGTCTAATTTTAGAGGCTGCGTTTCTCGGTCCAGATTTCAGAACATAGTTTGAAAACCATCAATTCAGCCAAACTCTCTCATTGGTTTTCTGCAAAAGTTAACTAATGCTCACAAATATCTTTATCCAAGGTCACCCAGTTAATTATTGATATAGCAACTCCCCTCCCAAAGATTCATTGTGATTTCCCACATCACCTGTCCAGGACACGGCAGGGCGCAGGGCAGGTAGGTCTGTGTGTGGCGTGGGCCTAAGCTAAGCATGTCTGGTGTCAGTCCAAATCCACCACGGACTCAAAAGCTCTCTAATCCACCTATACACAGAATAGAAGCTGGGAACTCTTTTCAAAAGTTTCTACTGGTGATTTAAAGATACATCCCTCTCTCCCCTATGCACACAAACAAGGAGCTGCACACAGTGTCACCTCAGACCCTGACTCTCCTGGACGCCATCGGCCTGAGACCCAGGTGTGACTTTGTCAGCTCTGCCCAGTACGGACAGACCTGGGCTGGCTCCTCGCCTCCCTCCTCCCAGCCAGAGATGGTTAATTGCCAGCTCCAGGCTGCCTCCAGCCCAGCCCTAATCGGCCTGATCTCAGGAAGCAGCAGCTACAGGCCAGCGGGGCTGCAGAGCAGCGGGGTATTCTTCCAAGGTAATGATTAAGCTAAGTGCCTGGTAAGGGCACGGGCCACTGAGCTAGGAAGGTGAGCTCTATTCACACCTCTACCAGGCTGTGGTGGCCAGGACTGGCTTGAGAAGGCAGCACCCCAGGGACCAGGGACCCGGAACTGGCAGCTGCATCCTCCCACTGCACACAAGCATCTCGGAGCATCTCAGGCTGGAGTTTCTGCTGCCTGCCCTGTGGGGACCTGCCTTCACCCCCGGCACCATGAAGCTGCAGGTGTTCTGGACTGGACTGGAGTACACCTGCCGGCTCCTAGGCATCACCACTGCTGCAGGTAAGACACCCCCCACCCCCACGGCAATCGCCTGGTAACCAGGCACACAGACAGGGCTGCCTGCGGGGTGGGAGCTGCCTGGATGGGCAGACACATCTGAGCGCATCTGTTCTTCACTTTTTTTCCCTGAGACCCCAAGGAACATGCTCTGCAGAGCTGCAGCATGTGCACGGGGTGAACCTGGGGCTGGGAACCAGAGGGCAGTCTGTGTTAAATCTCTGCTTAGCAACTCACTGTTCAGGTGACCCTGGGATGGCATCTGCATCCCATCTGTGAAATGAGTCAAGTGAGTCAGCCTCACCTCCTCGAGGTCTGCTGTAAGATGGAGGTGGGAACTGAAGTCTAAGGTGTTAAGGACTGGGCAAATGTGAGACTCGGAAGCCTCACTGTATAGTTAGGGGAAAAGTCAGAGATCTTCACCTGCTTTACTCAAACCACATCCCCATTTGCAGGAGAGATCATTCCCAGCACACGGGGCAGCTGAGCTACAGAGCTGGACATGGGGAGCCTCTGTTTCCCTAATGCACAGTGGGTTTGGCAGGGGGGCGGGGGGAGAAATAATTTCCACAGCTGGCTTCCTCTCTTTCCCTCAACCTGGTCACGAGGATGTTGGACTTCCCGGGAAGATTGCCAGACAGACGGTTAGAGCAGAACTGTCACAGTCACAATCCCGAGCCCCAACTGCTCCCTTTTCTAGTACAGATTCAGCCCTTAACCCTGTGGCCCCTGCATGGCTAGGACCTGTGTGGGGGAAGTTAGCCCTTAACTCTGGGACCCCTGTCCCTTGATGACAAGATACACCACAATTCATCAATTTTCCTATGACAAGAGAAAATCTTATATTTGGGTCTTGGCAAAAGGGAAATACCCACCAGTCCAAGCTCATATAGCACTGGTTCCAGCCCCAGCCCTGTCACTTACTGATGTGTGTCCATGAGAGATTTTGGAACCACACTTCTGATCTGTGCAGTGGGGATTTCTGGACCTGCTGGCTGGAGGTTCTGGGGGATTAAGGATGCATGAACTGGGCATAAGTAGGTAGAACTGAGGAAGCAAATATCTTGGGAAAGTTCCCATGACATAGTTCAGAACTCAGGGATGTCTGTGTCATCCCCAAGTTTCCAGGCCAGGCTCACAGGCAGGCTGGTTAGTGGGCTCTTCTAGAAACTAGACTCTGAATTATAACAGGAAGGACTGTTGGAGAAGCTCAAACCCCAGTGCTCCTGTTACAAGATGGAACAGCTGAGCTCAAGGAGAGGCAGTGACCTTACCCAAGGTCACATTGCAAGAGAGAGGGACATCCAGGCTAGAGCCTGGTCACTCAACTTTAGAAAAGGCCAGGACTCTGGCCAAAGCCTCCCAAAGTAGGAAACCCTATCCAGCAGACACACCAGGAAAAGTTGAGAAATGCTCTGCTGAGGGCGCTGAGTAACTGAGCTGAGAGAGCAGCTGGTAGTAACCTCCTTCAGAACTACCTTGTCACCTACTCAAAGTAATGCCCCCAATGTCCATCCAGAGGACATGAAATAATCCTAAATAGTGTTTCTGTGCCTGGGTTCTGGTCTACCACTGCTGATCTTGAGTCCTGCCCCCTCTAGGCCTGCCTCCTGTTGGGAAGCTGTTTTAAGATGTATCTCTCCTACTAGATTAGCTAAAGACAGCTTTAAAATCTGATTTATGTCAGCCGGTGAAAGGATCTGCAGCCACCCATACATACACACTCATACGTACTGCTCCCTTAACTGTTATCTCTGCAAAAGGGGCTGCTATTAATGCTGAAAATAGGCCTCCCACTTGGTCTTGATAGAATCCAGGCTAAAAATAGCCCACAAGTTGCCTTCTAATGGCCAGGATTTCCAATAATCTTGTTTGGGCTTTCTAGAGTGCCGGGAGCAAGTGGGAAGCTAGCGAAAGGGGCTTAGGTGCTCTTGGGCAAATCTCAAGTTTCTTCCAGCATCACTGAACTCCTGGCCTATTTCCAGGGTGTAAGACTTGCAAATTCCTTATTCCCTTAAGCCTCTTTTCTGTTGAAATCTCTGTTGAAAGTCCTGGGCCTCAATTACATGGGCACTGGTTGCTAGAAAGGAAAGAGAACTTCAGGCAGAGGCTACCACTTTGCAGAACCCCTGGGAGACCTAAGCTGGCCACTGGCCTCCTCTGGGAAGAGGTGCGGAGTCTCTAGGCATTTGGATAAGTGTGAGGCCCGGGGTCACCCTGACCCTCCTCTTCAGGGACCAGGCAGCTCCTGGTCCAGCAGCCTCCTCCCTGGACTCCCTTCTTCTTCGCAGACAGAATGTGACATGGAATTGTCAGGGGCAGTAAGGACACCCAGCCCCTGGAGCATCCACCAGCACACAAGGCCCAGTAGCAGTGGCTGCAGCATGCCCTGCGCAGGTGCTGGCTAGCTGAGCTTATCGCTTCCTCTCTGGCCCCTTCGCACGAAGCTATGTTAGGACATCGGCGGTCTAGCGCATTGCTGCCCTCCCCCCACACCCCTCCCCAAACCAAGAGTAGATTTAGAACATGGACAGCACAGTGCCACCCCCAAACTAAACTAAAACAGGCCATGGCATTCTGCACCCAGACAGAAATATTTCTAATGTTAGAAAGTCTCTCCCTTCGAATCAGCCTTAGCGTTTGCAGGCCATCATAAGCCAGCGGCCCCTATTTGTCTTCCACTTGGCTGACTTCCCACCTCTTTCCCATGACAGCCAAAAGCCGAGCTTAACCCCATTTTGTAAATGAGGGGACTGAGGCTCAGGGTGTTCAGGTCGCTCGGCAGTATCACAGGGCAAGTTGAGAGCAGGCCTGGTGTTGGGTCCTCAGTCTGCCCACTTACAGGGGCATGGTGCAGTGGCATGTGGGGACTGTAGCACACAGCCCCAAAGAGAAGGGCAGCAGACAGCCTACAGGAAAATGAGCTGGGATTGAGACAGAGCTGTTTTGAGCAAGCCCTGCTTGTCAGGCTAACATACTCTTTCTCACAAATCAACTACTTTGAGTCAACCTGGAATCACTTAAGGGTTTTGTTTTGTTCCAGGTTTTTGACCCATTAACCTCTTCTCTACATAAAGGACAGAGTCACATTCCTAACAGCTCTATTCCTTGCCACACTACATTCAAAACGAAGGCTTGACTTACTAATATAGACTAAGACAAAAGAAGCATTTAAACCCAGATGTTCCCATTATTTTTTAAAGAGTAGAGCAAATGCATAATTTGACCTTAACCCAATTCAAAGCCTTCAAAAAAAACATTAATGCTTCTGAAGTAACCATCCTGGGCCCTGCATGCTAATTTCCATCCTCCTTAAATGTATGTCCCGTGACCACTTCCTGACATCTAAGGAAGCATTATGCTCTCCAACAAATCTACAGGTGGATTTATTGCCTGAGCAATACCACGTTGTTTTCCAATCCTTCAAGTGGATGTTGGCTGTTCTCTTTTTTCTAGCTGATTGTTCTTATGAGTAAATGAACATCTTTGCCCCTGTTTTGCCCTCTACCGATGAAAGACAATGTGATTTGTTTCAAGTGGTTCTTTCTTTCTGCTTGCGGCCTCTTCCTTAGGTTTAGAACATGAAATCAAGACCTCCACTTTAGATTTATTTATTTGGAAGATATTTGCTAAGTTCCCACTTTGTGCAAGGTAGACATGTAGATTAGGATGGTATCATCTTGCCCTAACGTGGTCTGACTACAGAGACAAACTAGGACCCCAGTGCCAAGCACCACAGTGCAGTGTTTGAGAGGATAGATTCTGTGCCCTATTCTACTACTACCTTGGCATTTGACCTTTGGTAAGTCACCCAACCTCTTTAAATGCAGGTGCCAATTGTATCTACTCTCTAGCATTGGAGCATTCAATGAAACAAACACTAAACCAGCAAACTGCCTAGAACATAGATTCTCACTCAGTGCTGGTTAATTTTAGAGGAATATACAAAACACAGGGACTGTCCAACATGCGTAGTGGATTCTTCTCTTAGAATGGAAAGAGAAGGATGATGAAAAGAAAAGAACAAGGAAGTAGATAATCCCCAAGGATGCCAATGGTCTTATACTGAGTAGCATTTTCCTTCACATTTTGAATGTGGGTCATTAAGATCAGCCTAGAAGAACTTGGTTATTTCTACCCACAGTAGTAATCAAATCAGAAGGAAGATGTTAGCCTCATTTATTTTTTTATGGACTGATAGATTGCCCTTAGTGTTGCACAACTATCTAAAGTAGACTGCTATCAAAAAGGAATATAGTCAAATATAAATGACTGGTGCTGGGATAAAGGTTCCTCCTGGGGCTTCCTTTTGAGTCTCTCACTCCCAGCTCATTTCCTTGTCATCTGTCTGTGGCCTTTGGAGTTGTGTGCTGACAGTCCTCTGACTTCCCACTGCATCTCTGCTTTGTGAATGGGCAGATTAGAGTTTTCCCAGGACCAAGGAAAGAAATATGGCTGTGCAACATGGGTAGTGAAGACATGAGGGCAAGGCCATTGCTTGCTGGCACCCAGAAAGCTACCATAAGAAGAGGGAGTAGATTCTCTTTGCATGAAAAAGAGCATAAGAAGCAAATATTGTGGGTAAATAGCTTGATCTGAATTTAAGACATAGAATAAATTCCTCCTGTGGATCCTTATGAAAAAGGAGACAATCTTTTTGGGAAATAATCTCCCAAAAGTACCAGTGCATTCTGTAGGTCTGTCCTTCCATGTCAATGAGATCATCATCCAAAAGTGGTGTATCAGCCCAGGTGACTTCACAGGTGAACTCTACATTGGAGGAAGAAATAATGTCTATTCTACACAACCCTTCCAAAAAATCGTGAAGCAATACTTCTCAATCCAGTCTTCAAGACTAGCATTAATCCAATGCCAAAACTAGACAATACGGATGTAAATCCACATTAAAAAATTTTATGTGGACGTTCATAGCATTTGATTCAAAATAGCAAAAATTAGAAACCATCTAAGCACTGATTAATGGATGAGTTGTAAAGCAACAAAGGTATATCCATACTACTGAGCAATAGAAAATTTGAACTATCAATATATCCTACAAAATGAACAAATCTCAAAAGAAGTGTGTTTTAAAAAGTACATGCTGTATGATTCCATTTATATAAATTTCTTTAAAAAAATCAAACTAATCCCTAGAGACAGAATGTAGACCCATATTTGGTTAGGGATGACTAAGGGAGATTGGACAGTAGGATTACAAGGATAAGAGGAAACTTTGGGGCTGATAAATATTTTCATTATCTCAATTGTTTTGATGGATACTTACCAAATCACACACTTTAAATATATGCAGATTGTCGTGTATCTATTATAACAATAAAGCTGCTTTTAAAACTGCACATGTCCGTCATCTATTACCAAAATAATGCTGTGAAGCAAGAGCAAAGCCTTAGTGGCCTGTGGCAATAAGCTTTTGTTGTTCATCAGTGTGGGCAAGTAGGCAGGCAGCTCTGCTAGCATTGGCTGGGTGTGCTTACCTGCCTGGAGGCTGTTTGCTTGTCTATACTGGCATCGCCTGCTGCATGTGTCCCTAGTCGAGACATGTGCCCATTATAATGGTAGAGGTGCAAGAGAGAACCTAGTTCACAAGCCACCATCCATCTCTGCTTGCCTGATGCCTAGGAGCATCCTTTTGCCCAGAGCAAGTCACATTGTTGAGCCCAGATTCCAGGGAGGGAGACAGGCTTTTCCTGAGTGCTAGGGATTGCACAAAGAGCAAAGATGCCAAGAGGAAGCAGGATCGTTGGCATTATTGTGAATCACATGGGAACTTCTACAAGGCCAAACAAAATCAACATCTTTGCTGGTCAACTTTACTCTGTGAGAATCTAGCAGCAGATAGGTAGACTACCTTCAGGAAAGTCTCCCCAGCGAACTCATTAGAAATAATGGAGAGTTCTAGGAGCCATAACAAAATCCCTTCTAATCAAATGGCTAGAATTCTCAACTATAAATCTTAGCCTCTTATCACTGTATCTCTGAAGCCTGCCTTGTATGTGCCAGGTAAGCACAAGGTATGAACCTTGTATGTGTTTCCTGAACACAGGGAAACCTCCCTGTCATGCTTCAAATCTGCCACAACTTCTGAGTTAAGAAATCTGCAGCTATTGCATTATTACCTCAGTGGATTCTGAGCAACTGCTTTTAGCATCTCCATGTTCGTAGTAGTGGTGAAAATCTAGCTTTCACCTTTACAAGCAACTGCGAGCCCTTGAACTTATACCAACCCCAGTCATTGTGATCTTCCAGTGCATCCCTCCCTGAGACATCCTTGGAGACCTAAAGGCAAGTAGGAGACACCCATACTCAAGTGTGAAAGGGGTAGTAAGTACAACAGGATGAAGCTGTCCCAGAAGCAGTATTAGGTCTCATCTGACTCCCCAGGCTTTGAGGGCCATGGTCACCGCCCAGCTTGAAAAGCCAGTTAGTGTGGCTGGGGCTTCAGGATGCCCAGAGGGATGCTCAGAAGCATCACAAGCTCTAGTGACCTCTGTGAAGTGTTCTTGTTGCTTACTGTCTGTACCATGTGAGAGGCTGGGGTGCAAACGACTCCCACACCCCTCCTTAGAATTGGCCTAATTTGTAGAGCACTTAGTGGTTTATACACAGGCAGCCCCGTGACACAGGAATTTTATTCTCCCCACTTTTAGCAGGAGGAGGATCCCTACTTCTGACTCCATTCCCCCTGCTCTCCTCCTCCATCCTGGGCTTATAGAATCCACCCCAGTTATCTCTGGTTGATAGCTTTTGGGGGGTGACCCCACTTGCCATGGCTAGCTGGAGGCTGGGAGAAGGCACAAAATTTGAGTCTGCATTTCAGACTCATTATTTTCTCTAATCCAAGCGACAAGTCTGCACACTTTACCTTACTCTTCCCGTTGCTCAGAGGAGAAAACCCGATTCAAATAGAGTAAATACTTAGCACAGTTACCCAGGTAATGACACAGAACTGGGATTCCGCTCAATAATCTGTTTTCTCTGTTGTTACTTTGTTTTTTAACAGCAAAGCTGCCTTCAGAGCATTCCTCAAATTCCCCTTTGAAGACTGAACATTTGTCTCAGTCAAAAGGAGTCAAAATAATTCTCTGTATGCCAAATGGGGGCAAATCCGGGAAAGGGGCTGAGTTCCCAAGGCCCTCTCCTGCCATCTGCTGGTCATGTCAGTCACCACAAGCCCACCCAAATCACCACTTAGGTGAATGAATTCCCTGCAAAAATGAACCAGTGATTTCGAGCAGCTCCGGTGAGGTACAAGTTTTCAATTAGCTTGTTGAATCCTTATGACTATAATGTGCAAGAGGAATAGTATGGAAACACAAGCTCAGAGAGTTTGAGGACTCTGCTATTAACTAGTAAGTGTGAGAATGAAATGCAGGCTGTGACCTGGACATCCTAGGTTGGTTGGTTACATGCTCTGTGCCTCAGTTTCCTCTTCTGTAAAATGGGAATAACAACAGTATCTTCACACAGAACTGTTGTGATGATTGATGTCAAGTACTAAGAACAGGACTAGGAACCAAAGACAGTGAAAATCAAATAAATGGGCACAGGCTTGCACAACACACACATACACACACACATACTGGTAAACAGTGGAAACCAGGAAACTGCCCACCACCTGGAGCCAGGAGTCTCAAGTTCAGTCTGTAGGTCCTTCACTTTCTTGCATGTGTCTTTGGGAGAACTCTACAAGGTCATCTTATTTACTTCCTATAAAGTGGGGAGAATAAAATTCCTGTGTCATGGGGCTGCCTGTATAAAAACAATTAATTGCTTAAATTAGGCCAACACTGTGGATGAGTGTGGTTTGCACCCCAGCCCCTCACCTAGCACATCAAATAAGCAACAAGGAACTGAAGAGGACAGATGCCCTGGCCCTCTGCCTCTCTGGGCCTGAAGCTCAGGGACACCTCAGAACCCGCACCTTTAACCCTCGCTTCATCAATGAAGCACTCTGCTCATCCGTGAAGTCCATTAAGAACTTTCACAAACCACCACCATCCCCCGTAGAAGTGAGGGGTGGGGATGTTGTGGCCTAAGTGAGGTGCTCTACCCTACATCTCTGCAGTGGACTAAAGGCTTGGGGTACCCAGGGGTGGAGGCTGATGTAGCGTCTCTACCAGGGAAGCAGCCCCCTGAACAGCAGAGACAAAGGTCCACATACAGGCCGCCATGTGCCATGCCCAGGCCTGCACCTGACTTTCTGGGAGGGGGATGAGGTTAAGACACGATCGGCAAATACCAGACTACATCCTCCAAGCCCAGAGAAAGAGAAATAAGGGGTGCTTGGGGTAAAATCAATTAGGCCAGGAAGAAGTCTAATTAGTGAAATGACATGGTCCTAGTAGAAGGTCTGGGGACATTTCAGTGCTGTCTTGGGGTGTTATATTTCATCAGTGAGAGCGTGGGGTCAGAGCTGCAGCTGGCTAAGTGGAGTTGTGAGAATGGACCCCTGCATACCCCCCAGGGGACAACTGGGAGCCAACAGGTCTACAAAGATAGGTCCAAAAAAAGTCCACCCGGACAAACACAAGGTCAGGTGTTTGAACACACACCAACTGCCAAGAATGAGCAGAGATGAGATCAGCACAAGAAGCATCCCATGCCAGAGCAAGCCCCAGGTGCTTAATCAGAACCAGATCCAAAGCAATGGAACACGCATGTGTGATGCAGCCGCCAAGCCAGCAAGTGAACACCAGGGCCTGGCAATGGCAAACACAGCTAGGCAAGGCAGCAGAGTGGTACCCAAAGGCATGCGCTGAAGCCTAGATGCCCAGCACAAATGGGTGTGGACTGCAGGACGGTGAGGACCCTTGAAACCAGGTGGAAGGCAGCTTTGGAGAAGAAGCTATAGTGGGCTGTCTTTGGGGCCACTAGGGATGGTGTCATGACAATGTGGCCAGAGAAAATATGGGGATCTATGCTCTGGGGCTCTGCCTAAAGCCCTTCTACTTACCAGAGACCAACCCAGAAGGCTCTTTTCTCCCTTGCACCTTCCCAGCCGCTGCTCCCTGAGACATGGGAGAAGTGCCCACCTGGGCTGTCAGTCATAGGTTCCTAGAGGCCCAGGAGCCTGCTGAGGGCAGCGCTGTGACCAGGCACCTGGGCTCACCCCTCCTTCTTCCCCCCTTAGTGTTGATCGGCGTGGGGACTGAGACCTTCCTCCAGGGACAATTCAAAAGCCTGGCTTTCTATCTGCTGTGAGTATGTGAACACGTGTCCCTCCCTACTTATTTCACTCCAGCTAGCCTGATTCTACCTATAGAGACTAATCCAGAGTAGCCCCTCTCTTTCCCATATTAATACTCCATTCTATCCCAGAGGTGGGAGGAGCAGAGGGGACTTCTAGGAGATAAGGTGGTCTAGGCAGACCTTTAGTTAGACCAACCCTTAAATCAATGGACTGGCCCTTCACATAGTGATCATTATATAAATGATAGTTATTACCATTTAAAAGCTGAAGGGAAGTAGACAGACACTGAGAAACAGAGAGTAGGAGAAGGTAGAGATTGAGTAGTCACACACAGAGAGAAATGATAATAATGAAGCTTTATATAATGACCACTACCACTTTGCCTGTGCAAAGGTCCTGTGGTACTTGAAAGCTTCCTGTATAGTCAGAGATATATGGACTTTCACCTGAGGCTTTAAAAAAGGCAGGCTAAGAAATTTTAATTCTGCAGGCCAGTGAGACCCTCAAATAAAAAAGAAGCTTCCATTCACAAAGATTCTAGTACATTAAGCCTGGGACTGACCCAGGCATCTATGATTTTACATATTCCCCAGGAGAGTCTTATTGGAGGGTGCCTGGACCACACTTGGAGCAGAGGAGCCTTTGCAGCATTCTTGACTAGGAAAAATACCAGCAGGTTCAGGTGTCAGAAGGAGCCCCCAGGGCAGCTCAAGGATGACTGAGTGGAGGATTAGGAGTGGGCAAGGCAAGAACCAGGGAGTCAGAGAGATCAAGATGGGGAGTTTGGTATGGGGTTCAGGGGTCAGTGCCCAAACTCAGAAAATACAGGTGAGGCCAGAGAGAATGGGAGTGAATCTGGGGCTGTTTTAGTTACTCCTGCTGACTAGATGATCAGGTGCACAACCAGAGTGGGTGTCCCTCCTGATGACAGTGGGTCGAGGATGTGCCTGCCAGTGTCCACACCAGGGTGTCAGGGTCAAGGGAATGTCCCCTGCTGGCCTGTAGCTCCCAGCTCATGTTTCTGGGCCCTGGCCCTGACCCCCTCCATCACTACAGCCCAGTGCACCACAGGCCCAGGCATCAAGGCAGCTCCTGGTGAGTGGTGACTGGGTGACAGAATTAGGTCAGGAAATGCCTGGACACTTAGTCAGCTGAGGACACTCCGGAGGCCAAGCTGCTTTGAGAAGACAGTGAAGAAAACTTCCCCAAACTTTGCTGTGGGGAAATGAAAGGAGGGTAGGAGGGTTCTGGGCCTCCCTCACCTGTCTCCGCCATAGATTTACAGGAGCTGCCATCTCTTTGTGTGAAGGGGCCTACTTTGTGACTCAGCTGCTGACCTTCTGCTTCCAGTAAGTGATTTTCAGAGTGGTCCCTCTACCTCTCCCCCTCCCTGAGCCCCTACACTTTCAACTGCCTCCACCCGTCAAGCCATGGCAAGGACAAGGTCCTGCTCCAGAATGGACAGGTCCCCTGGCCACAGTGTAGTCAGCCTGTCCTGGACATGGGCTTGGACTGTCATCCCAGTGTTCCTCTTTTCTCTGCTCCCAACCAGGGGAGTGGACTGACACACTCTTTCAGGACTTATGCCCACCCAGAATTCCCTGCAACCAGTCACTACATCCACAGTCCAAGCATCCCCTGGAGGAGTGACGACCTTGTGAGAGATCTGGTTTGCAGTGAGTGGGGCTGGGTTTGGGGGCTGGCTCCACCTCCTGCTGGGAACACAGGCTTCCACACCCTGTGGGAGACAGAAGTGCAGACCTCGAGGAGCTTGGGAGGCCACGTGACCATGGCAGACTCACTTGCTTCCCAGCAGTGCTCAGTTCCTGAGAGTTGTCATCAGTGTGATTAAAGGCTGATCCTGGATCATGACTCTCAAAACCTGTATCACTGGGTCTCTAAGTGGTTGTCAAAAGCCAAGCCAGGCCTCAAATCCAACTATCCCGATAACATGCAAGACCACCAGCTACCTCTGTGGGCCACCATCCCTGAGTCACAGCATTTCTGCTGAGTGCACTGCCCAGGGATAATTGCAACTTCTCCAGAGCTGGGAGAAAGGAACCCTGGACCTAATGGGGCATTTTACCTGCTCTGAACTCCCTCCATTCCCAGACAGGGTCTGCACACAAAAGAATGACCAGCAGGGGGCACCAATGAGCCATGACAGTTGACCGCTGTGCTCTAGGCCAGTACATGCAAAGCAACCCCAGCAGGAGGCAGTGTGCAGGGCCCCACTTTAGATGAATTCAGAGGATAGATGAGCTAGGCCCAAAAGCAAAAATGAAAAATGATGTAAAAAAATATATAAAATGAAAAAAAAAATAAAAGCAAGCACCTTCCGAGGCCTCCCTGGTGGCGCAAGAGGTTAAGACGCAACCTATGAAGCTAGCCTCAGCCACTGCAGCACTAGTTCAATCCCACGGCCAGGGAGCAACCCACATGGCACAGCAGACCTCTCCTGACTCGCCTGCTGCTCCCCTCAGCAGTGTATTTCAGTCAATCCGCCTGTTCTGTTCCCCACTCTGTCTCCGGTGAATCCTCTCATCTCCCCCAACTCTGGCCTGTACCCCAATTCTTGTATGTATAAATAAATCTTTAAAAATAAAAAATGAAAAATAAAGCAAGCACTTTCCTTTCTCCTTTGAAACCTGAAAGTGGTGACCCTCAATAAATCTGCTCAGTATCCGGCCTCTGTAAGCCCTTGTGTAGTCCCTGCATGCCAGTTAAGTGAAAAGCCCCTCTAAGCTGTTTCCATCTTGTGCAGAGGCAAGGCATGGTGAGCAGGTTGTAGCTGGGTTCCAGCCTCTCCTGCATGTGGCCAGGCCTCTGGTGCAGCACACTATTAGGACAACAATCCAAGTCAGTTTTCTCCTGTACTGCACGCCTCTCACTCCACTGTGGGTTTCCAGAGAGCCCCAAGTCTCCTTCTCTCCTTTGCAACATCCTGAGAGTTTCTAACTTCCTCCCTCCTTGATAGGGCTGGGAGGCCTTTCAGGAAACGTTTAGACCCTATGGAGGGGTTCAATGAGGATTTTGGCCCCTGGGGGTGCTCAGCCAGAGGCCGCTGAAGAGAACATGGCCATGGCAGGAAGCAATCCCAGTCTCCAATAGTCTTGTGTGTTCTGGGGTTTTCCTGGGTTGCTTCCTGCTAACCCTAGACTCCCTCCCCCAGGTGTCAGCCAGGGTCCCTGGCCTACAGAGCACGGGAGAAGGCCCAATGGCTGGGCTGCTTCCAGAAGTTCCTGGCCTACATGCTGCTGTCCGTGGCCTGTTTCCTGCACCCCGTGCTGGTCTGGCACGTGACCATCCCAGGTAGGAGCTCCAGGAGGTAGTGAAAGCAGGTATCCCTAGCATAGGTGGGCTCTGAGCAAGAGAGGCAGGAGCCCTCTCTCATAAGCCTACTGGCTCTAGAGACCCCGCTGATACCACTGCCCTCTCTGGCCTGGAATATGGGGTGAGGAAACTCTAGGCCAGCCTTAATGCTCATCGATTGGCAGGAGCGTTCCAGGAAACTCATCCTTCATGCAGGCATCCAGAGGCTGTACATGAAAAGGTCTTCCCATCAATACCTGTGTGTGAGCTAAGCTTCCCAAAGCCATCCGAGTATACCCAACACCTACCTACACACATCCAAACTCAGCCTGGTTTGGAAGGCACCCTACGATAGGGCCCCTAAAGACCCCAGCAGCCTCATCATCCTCTCCTGCCCCACTTCTTAGACCCAGCTGGTCAGCTTGGTTTCTGTTTTCAGGAGCCAAAGCTCTAGACTCCCACCTCCTGGGTTTGATCTGTGACTTATTCTTTTAGAACTCACCATCCTCCACTCCCAAAACTATGAAAAATGTGTCCCCGCTCAGGATGCATCTAAAAGGCCAGGAAGCCCACCACCCAGGGACACAAAGTTGAAAGGTACAGCTTCCTCATTCTTCCAGCAGTTTCTGTTAACACCCCCCTCCCCATCACAGTCTCAAGGCCCTCCATGTGGCCCTCCAGGGCACTCCTGAGAGATTCAGCCACAGCCTCCTGCTCTTGGAGATCAGAACATCTCCTTGGCAGGCAGCCCAACCCCTTCTCTCCTCCTCTGGAAGAGTCAGGGTCCCAGCAGGAGATATAGACAGCAAGTCTCAGCCTGGGACACAGGGAACTCTGACCTGAAGTCAGGGTAAAGGGCCAGTAGGGGGACAATGCTGTGCTAGCCCCATAAATTTGCACTTTCCTCTGAGGTTATTAAGGGGAGACTGACATAAAGGGAGGTCTCCCCACTTCTGGAGCTGGAAGAATACCAGTTCACCAGTCAGGGGCCAGGTACCCAATGCAAAGTGCCCCTGAAGGTATCACAGGTAGAGCCCCAATAAGTCATCCTGAGAGGGAGGTTGAGTGTGGTGATGGGAGCACCAGGATCGGGTCTCAACAGGAGGGAGCCTCAGTCACAGGGTCCCCTGGGCGAGGCCTCCAGTACTAGCCCTGCTGATGTCCTCCCCCAACCAGGTGTCAGGCCCGCCCTGAGTCCTTGTGGGTATGAGAGACTATGAGGCATGAGTGTGGCACAGGCCTGCTGAGTGATCCTTAGGGACAGTGGGCTTGGATGGGCCCTGGCTTCTGTCCAGGACACATCCAGCATTCTAACTGCCCAGATCTCTTCCAGGCTCCATGCTTATCACCACGGGCCTGGCCTACTTCCTACTGAGCAAGCGGAAGAAGAACAAGGCCGCCCCTGACGCTCCGGCCCCCCCAGAGCAGTACACGGACCCCTCCGGCAGTGCCGTGAGCACCACTGGCTCTGGGGACACGGAGCAAACCTACACCTTCCACGGGGCACTCAAGGAGGGGCCCAGCTCCCTCTTTGTGCACATGAAGAGCATCCTGAAAGGGACCAAGAGGTCCAGTGCCCCCCAGCACCCAAACACCCTGACAGAGCTGACTCTGGAACCAGCTGACCTGCTGGCCAAGAAGAAGCAGGTGCACTTTGAAGACCACATGTCAGATGTGAGAATCATCCCCTCCCTCGCCGAAGGCCTGGATGATGAGGACAGCGAGCCAGAAGAGACCACCTCTGACACCACCCCCATCATCCCTGCCCCCCAGGCCCCACTCCTCCTGTCCTCTCTCACAGGCACAGGCCTCTTCTGAGCTGCTTGCTCCAGCCTGGGGTTCTGCATAGAAAGATGGGCCTGCCCAGAGTTTCCTGATGTCCACGGGTCCTCCAGAGTCTTCACAGGTCAACTCTTCAAAGGGTCTGGGCCTTTGGGGCCCTCAGGCACCATGACAGAACCTGCAGAGGCCTCGAGGGAACACAGATGAAGCTGACACCATCTCAGCCCAGAACAGGTTCCTCCCTTCTGGACGTGGAGTGGGAAAAGCCTTGTGCTGCCCCCAAAGAGCTCTTCACCCCACTTCACATAAGACTGCCTCAGCCCCAGGAGAAATCATCTTGCTCCTGGCATAGGGGCAAGCTCTCAACAAGCACTCACGGCCCACCCCAGCTCTGAAGGACCAGGAATGTGTTGGCAAGTTAAGCATCTCAAAGGCAAGCGTTGAAAACAGCCATCAAACCTCAAATGAGATTGCTCGGGATGGGAAGGGAAGCAAAACTACAAGGCCTGGGGTGGACGCAGCGCCTGAAGGTGGGCCGCATTCTCCGCGTGCTCTGGGGCTGGCACTGGGCAGCAGGCCCCACAAGCCACTCCAAAACAATGGCACTCTATGCTCCCTGCAGGGCAAACCAGGCCAGAGGGGTGAAGTTCACTGTAAAAGCATTGCTCAGCAATCCCTGCATCCCTACCACAGGGACTTCTTCAAGATTCCAAGTAGATGACATAAACTAAAAGATGCTGAAAGCCGCCAACAGGGCCGCAGCACAGGACACAGAGCCTGCTGTGTGCAGGGACCATAGAGGCTGTGCCTGGAGACATCCCGCACAGACAAGTCGCTATGCCATGCTCAAGGGCCTGGTAGCAAAATAGTTGATAAATGTGTTTGTTCAAAGTGGAAGGGAGGGAAAGATGAGGAGGGAATGTGGAGGGGGGAGAAAGGGACAGGCAGACTAGCTCTCTATTAAGAACTACACGTTGGCAGTCTACCCAGAATGAACAAGAAACATATCCCGTAGTGTAATGTCCAAGCTGTCAGACCCTGTTTAATAAGCATTTCTGTAAAATCAAGTGCTAGAGCTTTGTTTGGAATGTGTCTTGGAGGTGAGGAATGTGTCTTGTTTGGAATGTGTCTTGGAGGCACTGGGAGTTCCACGTGAAGAGATGTACATGTCATCTAAGGCATCTAGGTGTCCCGGACTTGTCATCAGTTAAGAGAAAGCACTGAACATGCACCATTAGAGGCTGGGATGGTTATCATCTGACTGAGTTAAGCAAAGTAAAACCCTCTAACACTCTCATTGCTGGGGGAGGAAACCAGGAGAAGAGCATTACATAGACCAGAGCCTGTGGTCAGTGGAATAGCGAAAAAGTGGCACCTCCTCAGAGGAAGATGAACACCATGCCTCTCCACGTGACTCTCAGCCGAGACATTCTAGGATCACATCCTGACCCGTTGCCTCCCTGCAAAGATACTGTGATGGCCTCCATCCTCGCTGAGAAGCAAGACTCCAAGGACTGACTCTGGTGTGGGCGACCTCCCTTTCTCAGCAAAAACTAGAGCAGATGTTTGATAAGTGGAACTCTAGAAGCAGGAAGAACACAAGCCTAGGGGGTCATTCAATGTGCCACTAACATGCTGGTTGACCTTTGCCAGGCCTCTTCCCTCTCTGATCTCAGGTTCCCCTGTCAGGTGGGAAAAACAGCACTTCTCTCAGGATTGGTGCAATTGCTTCTCCAAGAAGATGGGGAAAGGGCTTTTTAGATTACAAATCACCCAAGTTGATGTGAGCGCATGCTCCTATTACTGTAGGGCCTCACAGGGAGGAAGCACAAATAAGGAAACACCACCAAGACTTACCACTGGGGCAAGATCTATGCAGGTGTAAGATCTTGCTCCTTTCTGGATTCCAGATGCCAGTGCATGAGCCTGGGGAGGGAGCAACGCCACCCGCAGCTTACAGAAAGCCACAGCAGGCCCCCCCAGTCACAGGAGCTGCTCTGGAGTTCACTGGGTACATCCTCAACCCCTACCCCCACCCCGTCTCTCCTAAGGAATTTTTGTTTTTAATTTGTATATATACTTATTGACATATCACTCACATACCATTAAAAAAAAAAAAAAACCACCCATTCACAATGCTCAATCAAGTGCTTTTTAGTGTATTGAGAATCCCCAACCCCTGAAAACTACTTGTCTGGTTTATGTTTAAGAGTTTGACTTTTTCACTTACAAATGAGATCATACAGCCTTAGTCTTTCTCTTACTTCAGTACAGTGTCCTCAGAGTCCATGCTTATCACCTCAAATGGAAGGATTCCCTTCTTTCTCATGACTGAACAGCATCCATGAGTGTGTGCTCATGCACCACAGCTCTATCCATCCATCCATTGGTAGATTGTTTTTCATGTCTTCACTTGTGGAAAGTCCTGCCATGAATGTGGAAGTGCTGATATCTCCTGGCGGTCAAATTTTTATTTCCTTTGAATATATATCCGGAAATGGGATTATTGGATCATACAGAGTTCTATTTTTAATTTTTTGAGGAACCCCCGTATTGTTTTCTATCATGAGTAGCTGTAACAATTTATATTCCCACCAGCTGTGCATGGGGTCCCCTTTTAGCCATATGTTTGCCAGCATTTGTTACCTCTTGTCTTTTTATAATACTCATTCTAACATATATGAGATCTTACCTCATTGTGGTTTTGGTTTGCATTTCTGATGATTAGTGATGTCAAGTACCTTTTTTGTGTATTTGTTGGCCATTTTCTTTGGAAGACTGTCCATTCAGCTTCTCTGCCCATTGTTCAATCAGATTATTTCTTTGTATATGAGTTCTTTATATAATTGGATACTAACCCTTTATCACATGTGATTGACAAATATTTTCTCCCATTCTTTTTATTTTGTTGATGGTTTCTTTTGTTGTTCAGAAACTTTTAGTTTGAGGAAGCCCAACTTGTTTATTTTTGCTTTGGTTGTCTTATTTTTGATAGCAAATCCAAAAACTCCTTGCCAAGACCAATGCCAAATCATTTACCCCCCAATGCTGAATACAAGTGACCAGAGCAGACATTCTTGTCTTATTTCTGATCTTAGAGAGATACATTCAGTCTTTCACCGCTGAGTATGATGTTAACTATATATTCTTTGTATATTTTCTTCATCAGGTTGAAGAAATGTCCTTCTATTTCTAGTCTGTTGAGTGTTCTTTTCATGAAAGCATATTGGATTTTATCTAGTGTTTTTTCTGGAATTTTTAAGATAATCATCCATTTTTTTTCATTCTTTAATATACTGATATGGTTTGTTGCATTCATTGATTCTCAACTGTTTGAACAACCATGATGTTATAGGATAAATCCCATTTGCTCGTGGCATATATTCCTTTTTACATGTCTCTGGATTATGTTTCTATGTTGCTGTATTTTTTGAGGATTTTTGTGTCTTTATTCCTAAGATATTCTGTTCAGTAGTTTTCTAGCCTTGTGATAGCTTTGTGTTATTTTGGTATCAGTGTAATACCAGTGTAATACTGGCCTCACAGAATGAGTTAGAAAGTGTCCTTGAGTGTTTTATGGGATGTGAACAGAGAAAGCTACTCTGGGATCGTTTGCCGGTTTCTTGGTCAGCTCTGCTGACATGCAGCTCCCTGCAGCTGCACATTATCCTCATCAAGTCCCACATGCTCCTTTCAGTTCAGTGTGGAACCAGAACATTAGCAATGGCATGTTTGTCCCAGGAATAAACTTGAACCTCTTTTCTTGGGATTCTGTTCATCCCTTACTTCACCAATCTCTACAAAGAAACAGAGCCTGTTGTTCCATCCCCTGCCTGCACAACTTACCGGGTTTTTTTCTGCAAATTGATCTATCCCTGCATCTTCCCCTCAAAGCCCTGAACTTAAGTGGAGCTCAGAGTTCTGATCTGCCAGGGGACAGTCAGCTGACTTGGGAGACAAAGAGAGACTGTCCCCATTGAGTGGATGGGAGTTACTCCCACTGGATCTGCCTGCCTAGTTATGGTATCATTCTCCTGGAGTATAGGGAAGAACTGTTAAGTCAAGATCTTTGCCTGGGAGAGAAATGGAAATCAGAGATGTCAAAGTTTAAGCGGAACATTATGCTCCAACATTATGACAAGGGTGAAAACCACTTCATAGACAGAATCACCTAAGAGGGCAGGAGTACGGCTCCACTCAGCTCTGCTGAGATCTGGGGCTGTGAGTCACATATACTTTGAGGGAATGAGGTCATTTCTAAAGGCCCTGCCAGCAGGAGCCTCGGGGACACCCAGCTATGCACATTAACAAGGATTAGCCCAGACTTCAGAGCAGGCCCAAGGAAAATCCAATACTGAGTCTAAAGACAGGCTATGTGATTTTTTTTTTACACCATGAACTTCTGGGGATGTTGCATCGCCTCTGAGGACAGTGATCTAGGGAAATGGGGCACATTAGAAATGGAGAAGTACACTGGGAATACCCTGGGGCAGGTGCAAGAGCCCACCCAGTGGGGTGTTTATCACCTAATGGATATTGAAAGCCTCTGTGAGTCTCAAATCAAATTTCCCTTTAAAGGCAAGATAACAAGGGAAGTGACTGGGCGATGCCTGTGATGATTCATCTGTCTCTAAGCAGCCGCTTCTGTCTGGGGCCGCACACAGCCCAGAGTGGGGGCCACCAACCCACTCTTGCTTCAGTTTCCAGTTTCCAGAAAGTTCAGTGGGATGCTTGCAGGCCCTGAGTCTCAGGTTCCTCTTTTCTGGAAGGAACATGTTTCCTTCCCTTCAATCAGCTGCACCAGAACGCACAAACTTAGAGACTAGGCTGTGAGTACTGAGCAACTTAATGATTATTCATTAAGCACCTATGGGTGGGCCAGAAACTCTGCAGGGGTGAGTCGGGTGTGCTGTGTCATCCTGTAGATGAACCCTAAGTGTGGCTGGCATGAGGCAGGTATAAGCATAACAAAGAAATTGCAAACAGGGTGCCATGAGACATGAATTCAGAGGGAAACCTAGGCAGGTAGATATGAGTTGAGCTTCAAAAGTAGGACTAGAATAGGATCAGATAATTGTCTGTCCTGTCACAAGAGAAGCAGGGCTGAGTCCATCAGTCTGGAGCCAGCAGATGTGTTTACCAGATGTGTTTACCATATCGAACCAAGATGATGCCTGTGCAGTGGAAATAGTATAAGACAGAAAGCCACGCCAGTAACAATGACAGTAGCAACTGAAACAATTGAGACCTGAGTGTGTGCTAGATTTTGGAGTTTTGTAGGTTCCAGCTCCTCTAACCCTCCAGGCCTGTGAGGCAGGGTCTGTTACCATCACACTTTATATCTGGGAAACCATAGCTTGGAGAATTTAGTAACTTGCACACTGACGCTCCGCTTCAGGCAGTATATCCAGTATCATTCCAGGCTCCTAGGATCAGGACAAAGTTCGAGACAGGCCACAGATACCAGCTGCGCACCTTCCTCTGGGCCTCTCTCGAGTCATATTTTTTGAATGAGAATATACTGACCAGATAACCTGAAGGTCCCATTTAGCTCAGTCATCTGAGACTCTAATATTTCTCAGATGGAGAGTGGGTGGGGTGGAGGGAGAATAGAAAAGGGTCTGGGAGCGATAAGGAAATGAGAGAATGAGAGAGCAGGCTCAGGTGAGGCAAGGTAAAATGCCAGCTCCCCACTTTGGTTGTAACCGTTCACCTCATTTTTTAGCCTTATGTTCATATTTTCAGGGGCAGCTTCTAATTTGAGCACTGACCACCCCTATCCCAATATACACAGGGCCAGAACAGTAACCTCAATATCAACACTGCCAGTGCCTTGGCTTTGCCCTGGGCAGCTAATGAGCCTGAGCAGAGCCTGGGCACTATACCAAGTCCCCTGCAAGACTTGCCTCCCAGCCCAAAACCCCATCAGCAGCAGGGTGGTCTCCCCTGGCCTGTGCAGGTAAGAAGTGGTTAGTAAATGTCACTTTGACACTTGGGAACAGGGCATAACTATCGGAGCTATTCCTCCGGCTGCCTTCCAGATACCCAGGCCTCCCCCAGCATCTGTTTGCTGTGCTCTGCTCTGGGACGATTATAAAGGTGAGCAGAGAAAGAGCAGCCAGCACAGCCACCCAAGAACCCATGCTCACCCAACTCCAGAGCTCATTGGTGACGATCCCTCGGCAGCTGGTAGGGCTTTTTTGACCTCAGATGCCTGTGACCTCTCTTTATTTCTCCAAGGGTATTTTCATGTCCCTTTTCTTTAACTTGGATAACTCCTTGTGCTCATGGTCACACTGCTTTTCTCCAGCCAGGATCCTCTCCAGTAACCAAGAGCCTGCACCCACATACATGGCATTCAACAGGAACTGCACTCCCCTCTCCAGCCTGCTTCCCCCCTTTTTCCTCTTCATGCTCACTCATCACGAGGCAGTGACTTCGCCCCCTTGGAAAGGATGCCCCTCAGCTGCTAGGGCCCTGCAGTTAGAGCAGGCAGAGGTGGGCTTCTTTCCAGGGTCACTGTTGCTGCTTTGCTTGCTGGAAGAGTCAGAGTTTCCATGGCTAATCTACCTTCCTCCTTGAGAGCCATGTGCACCACTGAGCCCATCCAGAGTCCCTCCTCCCAGAGTGCACATACTCTAGTTCTGGATGATTAGAAGCAAGAGAGGCTGGCCCTGTACCAGCTGGGAAAGGTTTCCTTGCTACTGGAGCGTGCTGCACTGGAGCGTGCTCTTCTGATTCATGTCAGCTGGGAAATATCGAACCACCTGTAAATGCCAAGGGGAACTAAACCAATACTGAAGATGACAGAGTGCAAGATGGAAAGAACCTCTTCTTTCCCTAAAGGTGCTTTTGAGACATTGGCTAACCACTCCTGGAATTGCCCATTCTTGGGGCTTTTTACTACATGAGATAACAAAACCCCCATCCTTTGTGGTTTTTATGCCTCTAAGCTGGATGCAGCCAACTCAGACTGTAACTTATCCACCCACCTTATCAGGTGTGGCAAGGAACAAAGGTCTGACATAACCCCAAACTCTTCCTTTACCCATAGACCAGATTGGCCCTGCTGCCTGCTTTTGTAAATAGAGCTTTACTGGAACACAGC